GGGAAATAATTCACTGATCATTATTCGATGTATGACTCGGTGATTCAAACTCGCCAAGATCCCCGATTCCAATTTATCGCCAAGGCCAAAATCGACCTGATTGGTCTAAAAGCTCATCTATGCCTGATATCGGGGCGTTTTGAATACGTGCACCAATTACTACTTATCTGCTCACACATTACTGTCTGGGGACCGGTCAGTTGGACCACGAGTACCTGTACTAATCCTTTTTTGAAAAAGGTCGAGTTAAGCCTACCCTGCAGTTCGACCATACCCGAAGGATGCACTGTGGCCAAACACAATGTGCGTTAGTCCCACAATGTCTAGTACACGCGTCTAGCTATAGCATTTCCTCTATGGCTTCCTGAATTCCGGATACGTAATATGAGGAAGGGAAATATCCTTTCTGCATAAGAAAGGAGACTACTTTTTCTGAACATTCTAACCTTGCTCGGGCTAAATGAACCTCCTTCCTAGGAAATATTTTTTTGAATATTACTCGAGAGCAAAAAAGGCTATACTTTTTCAAAACAATCTAACCCAACTCGGACTAAATAATCCTTCCTAAAAAGTATATTCTTCGATGAATTGCTCGAGGAAACAAGGAATACTACTTCTTCTAAACAATCTAACCTAACTCAGCCTGAATCAACCTTTTCCATTTTTAGACCCTCATGAAGTAGCAAACTTTTTTTCTGAAGAAATTCATTCAATAATGCCCAGTAATCCAAGTCTATCGAAATTTTGCGATTATATCGTGGAAACTTATATCGATGAAGGAAGTAATTTTCCCCCAAGTATGTGGGCTTGTACTACAGATAGTATGTACAGGACCACAAACGCGTGTGAATCATTTCATTCTCATTTTAATTCTAGTTTTTATAGTTCTCACCCAAGTTCGTTTAATTTTGTAAATATTTTAATGAACTTTCAAGCAGGAACAAATATTAAAATAATATCCGTAAAATGTTCCTCTAAAAAACTAAAAGTGCAAAACAAAAAAAAAAGATTTTATTAAAGCTAAGTTATCAGAATAAAGAAATGGCCTTTTATCACAAAAAGATTTTGTAAAAATTATGTCTGATCATAATTCACCTCAATAATAAATATTAATATATGTAAAGAAAATAGTGATTGTTTTAATTCTTAGAATACATCAACCTTAATCCGCTCGAAGAGCGGTCGTGGTCCAACTGATCGGTGTACTTAAAACAGGTACCTGGCCCGTGGTCGAACTGTCCGACTCCCTACTGTCTATATTGATTTTGGTAAATCCCCTAGATTTCACCTTGTAGATCTTGAATATTCGACCTACTGAGATGAATATAGTAGATAACAATACATATAATCTTACTACAGTAGGTGAAATAAACCCTCGAATAAACCATTGTAGAATCAGACTTGTACCTATTTTTCGAAATATTCAATTTTGAGAAATAGTGGAAAATCCTTCCTTTGTCTATCAGTTTGTCTATCGCTTCATGTAATTTGTTCACTCTCTGGCAATTTATATGAGGGTATTTAGTATCTTGTGCATTTCACAATTCAATCAAAACCTCGATCAAAACATTTATCAAAACTCCAATTCAATTCAGTACATCAAGACAGCATATTTATACTGCTCAGCAAATAAAAAATATGGTTTGAATGACATATATACATTTATTCAAAAAGGAAATGAGAATATATATGTACAAACAGGAAATAAGGAATATGAATTACTTATAAAATATACAAAAAAAATCAGTTCTATCAGCTGAATGGTAGATTTTTAACATATACCAACAAGCTGCAAAGCAGGTTGGAATAATCAAGTTCAAAACAATACATGATACAACACTCAATAGTAAAATCAAATTATTGCACAGTTCACTATGCTCATATAAAGTAAAATAAAATTCACAATAAATTAAATATACACATTTTTACAAGAAAACAGTACATATAGTGTGTCCCACTTCAGATTGCACACCCCAGTAACTATTACAAAGTCAAATTAAGATGTACATAATATATCTATAACTAAATTACTCCTTGGGAGCATTTCTTTCTTGAAATATACATACAGGGTGGACCAATAGTGTGGCTTTGCTATTTGATATACAGGGTGTCCGCTAAAAGGAGGTCAATCTATTAACCATATATCCCTTGAACAAAAACAATATGAGTTTCTAAATACCATTTTTCATTTTAGCCCTTCATATTCGATATACAGGGTGTCAAAGTTGGGAATTAAAAACTGTTTTTTTATTTAATTACTCGCGTATTTGATGAGATATTGATCTCAAAATTGGTACATTACTTCAGCACAAAGAGTTACATCGTGTGAGGAGAACAAAACAGAAAATAACTGTCAAATATTCAAAATACTGGGGGTCAATTACACACTTACCCCCATATTTTTTTTGTACGTGCGCTAATGACTTTCTGTCTATTTTTCTCCAAGTGTTCAATCATATTTGATTATTTTTATTTCTTGTAAAATTTCGATCAAATCATTTGTTTTAAAGATTATTCGAAAAGTACTGGTTATTGCCTGATGCCAATGCCGCTTATGGTAATCTCATAATGTTCACATACTCATATTTATTTTGTCGAAATTGGAAGAGGGCGTATCTTTTTACGTACGAATAGGTAAATATGGAAATACCGGGTGCTCAGAGCAAATGTACTATAGTCTGTTCGTTTGGAAGGCGAAGTAATGGAATGTGCCAAACCAACCATGGGCGTACCATTGATTTCTGCTTTTGGGCTTGACCAACGATAAATCGGAAAACATTTGTAATTCAGAGCGATGAATTCAGCTCGCTCATATCATATCATTTTCAGTTGCATATTCGAAGTGTCTTTGGAATAAGGTTGCTGTCAACTATGAAAGCAATTCATGGTTGTTTCGGTGTTGTTGAAACACCAGAGATGTCCTGCCTTGATAGATAACGTAACGTGAAGGTATTAGTGAATAATTTCAACATTATACAGAGAAGTGCACAATAAACGGCCAGTGCTGTATCTTCCTAATCATTCTAGATCAGATTTCGAAAATGTGGATAGCAAGTATACCAAATTGCTCATTCATTAACAAAACTATTTTTATTCTATCACTTCCGATTTCCACGGAAATGACCCCAACTTTCGATATTCAAATGGGAAACCCTGTATTGTATCCCATAATCGGTTAGGGATTATTATGACGAAATCAACGATACAAGGTTCGATAGGGTTATTTCAGATGATCACGAAGATATTTGCGTTCGAAATTTCCATATGTCAATTGGTGTGACTTAGCATCATCAAAACTCATTTCTATGTCACACTCATTGAGCCTTCGTAATCGTTTGAAATGACCCCATCGAACGCGGTATCCTCGAATCCGTTATGATAAGCCCTAACAATTCATGAAATAAAATGCAGAGTGTCCCATCTAGAAATCAAAAGTTGCGGTCGTTTCTAGTGGAACAGAAAATAATGGACCATGCAGATATTGTTTTGTCAGTGGATGAGCAATTTGGTATACTTGCTGCCCACCAATTCTAGAAATCCGATCTAGAATCAATCAGAAGATACAGCAGTGGCCGTTTTTTGTGCACTTCTCTGTATATTCCAATATGACAGGCGTGAGTAACACAACGGTATAGAAAATATTGAGAGGGAATAAAACTAATAGAAATATTAGGGCTCCGTAAAAGCATAATTATTGAAATGAGGGAAATAAAGCCTGATGAATTTGATACAAATGGATTTCGTCGTTTTGAAAAACAATTACCTATATGTGATTATTGTGAATATAATGAAAGTCCTTATGAAATACTATCAATACAGGGAACTATCGATATAAAATAAATAGGTATGTGACGAAAAGTCGACTAGAGTGTACAACATCATTATATGATTATACCTTCCAATGCAGTCAAAATAATGGAAAAACCAAATCAGACTTCAAAGGAAAAGAAACAGTTCATTTGGAGCCTTATTTAATTTACTAACTATTTGGTACGTAATGGCCCTTTCTCAATAAGATGATAATTATGGTGTGTGGATGACCGACTATTTTAATTTTTTTTGCTTATTTCAGTATCTTTGGTTCGGAAATATATATGACTATCATCAGCCATATATCTAATGATTATAGTCCTATAATTACTTGTAAGTAAAGTAAATGAGTACATGAAACACATGGATTAATGATAATATACCCACATGAGAATGATAACAAGTTGCTATAGATATTACCTAATGAAATTGAAAATGGTGATAGTTTTCATTTCATCCCCAAGCCTCAACAATATCAAGGCGGAAACCAGCTTTGAGAACTGTCAGGCACACATCAGCGATAACTCGAAATATTATAAAAACGTGTCCATCTTGCTCAACACAAGGCAGGTCGGAAAGCGTACTAACATGTGTCACCAATCACAAGTCAATGAAAAAGGCATTAAAAATACCAATCTTCACAACTAACGTTGATTCCATGCTATGTTATCTTCCCTACGCCCATGAAAACTCGGAGTGCCTATTATTTCCTTTGACTTAATTAGGCCGGCGAAGCGGCGTGTTTGTCGGCGAAAGGCCTGCCCCAGCCGCGCGTTTGTCGGAAATTCGGAGCTTCTCGTAGTCCGTACTTTGTTGTATTAAAGCGGCAAAATCGACTCTACCCAGAAAAAGGTTATACGTATAATTCATGAGATATCAACGCCGCTCTAGTGGTTACTCTGGAAGATTTCTCTTTGAAAATTTGCGACAACATTTCATTGCCACATTCCATTACTTCGCCTTCCAAACGAACAGACTTTTTATAAAATAATTTTTACAAAAAAAAATTAAAAAAGTGTAAAAATTATTTCAATACATTCGCTCTGAGCACCCGGTATTTCCATATTTACCTTTCCGTACGTAATAAGATACGCCCTCTTCCAATTTCAATGAAATAAATAGGAGTATGTGAACATTATGAGATTATCGTAAGCCGCGAGGCATCAAACAATAACCAGTACTTTTCCAATTATCTTAAAAACAAATAAGTTTATCGGAATTTTACAAAAATCAAAAAATACTCAAAAATGATTGAACACTTGAAGAAAAATAGATAGGAAGTCATTAGCGCACGTACAAAAAAAATATGGGGGTAAGTGTGTACTTGACCCCCAGTATTTTGAATATTTCACAGTTATTTTCTGTTTTGTTTTCCTCACATGATGTAACTCTTTGTGCTGAAGTAGTGTACCAATTTAGATTAATATCTTATTAATTATGCTAGTAATTAGAAAAAAACAGTTTTTAATTTCCAACTTTGACACCCTGTATATTGAATAAGAAGGGCTAAAATGAAAAATGGTATTTAGAAACTCATATTATTTTTGTTCAAGGAATATATGGTTAATGGATTGACCTCCTTTTAGCGGACACCCTGTATATATATTTTTATGGAAAACCGTTTTTTTTTTCCAAGTTTAACAGCTGTATATCTTGAAAACTATGCAAGTTCAAACCCATGTTTGCATGAACCTTTCATCTCAGAATTGTCCTTGGAACTTTGGCCACATAATTCATCAACATTGTTTACCTAATGGTGGAAGTGAAACTTCTTTTCAAAAGATAGGTAAGTAGGTATGAGTTTGGAAAAAAAAAGAGGAAAGCTACAAGGATGGAAGTATGACCTAAAGTGGGATATACTCCATGTATAAAATGTCACTTTATCCCAATGTGAGCAACTCCCAAATCACATTTTATCCAATGATCCTATCAAGTACTTGTCAATGTTCAAGTGATTCAACCCCACCTCTATATGTTTCAAATGCACTTCCACATTCCCCTGGAACACCAGCTGATTCTTGGAGCTCAGCTTCCTCTTTATTTGCTCCATGGTGCCCTGCAGCACCTGCAGCTCATAAGCATTCTGATTGGAGTCTGACATGCACTTCACTTGTAGCAGAAGCGCAGTTAGATCAGTGATCAGATCGATTACTGAGGGGTTCTGGCAGGCACTCCTGTCTGTTGAAATGACAGAGTTGTGCCTTTCAACGATTTCTGTGGCTTCTTCCCTGCACTTTTCCCTTAGATGAGAAGGTGCCAACATGGCAGCTACACTAGGTTCTGGAGCAATTTGCTGGCAGTAAGTTTGCATCTCGTCCAAGTACATCTGCAGGTCTGAATTCAACTTTTCCAGGTCTATGAGGATGCTTGCATACTTCCTCTCAAAGTCCTCAGGGATATCTTCATCAAAAGAGATGAGCTTTTCAGCCTCAGAGTTCATGGATTTCAAAGAATCAATTTTGGCTTTCTTCACATTCAGTATTTTAGTCACCAGAACCATTCTTTCTAATAACTTGGCTGGGAATCCTCCTATCTTGCCTTCTTCTGCATTTTGCATAAACATTGGTTTGTTTAACATGGATCCTGACAACAGTGGATCCTTTCTCAGCTTCAAATTATTCAGAATAGGGCTCTTGATTGCAGGTGAAAATGGAGTGCTCACCCTGGGTCGAAACTTAGCTTGAAAACTAGTCAGTGATATTGTTTCAGGGGGTTCATTTGAGAGAACCTCATAGTCAGGTACAGAGTGAGTCCCCAGGCCATATCTTTCAAAAGTTATCCTGTAGGTATTATTCGATGTGTCAACAGCATCAATGCTTCCTGTAAACAACCCATCTTGGGGTTTCCTCAGCCTGGCAGTTACTTTAGTTCCAATGACTAGCTGCATAGGTATTTCTGTTGGCAAATCTTTGAAGCTAGCCATGTCTGAGGCTTTTCTTTGCTGCAATGCTCTCAGCTTCTTTCTTTTCTTCTCCAGCTCTAGTCTTTCTTCATTGAAGAAGGCTTGAGAACACCTGCGCGGCTTACCCATCATTCTGCGAATTTTTGTCCACTCTGTTCTACTCAGCTCACGAGTTTTGAGGTCTGGAAAGGATTCCTTGAGGCAGATTTGAAAATCATTTTCACCATCAAAAAGACATCTGTCTATGTTGCTGTAAAACCATTCATAGCACACCCATTTGTGTGCTTTTGGCAACTTCAAGAGATTTCTCAGCCTCAAACCTATTTTTTGGCCAATTTTTCTATCTGGAGAATTTAATGGTGGTGGAGAGTTAGCTGGTTGAGAGTTCTTTACTTTGATTGGAGTCTTTTTTGGCGTTACTTTTAGATAGTCATTCTTTTCCACCTTGACTTTTACTGGTGTATGTTTTTTAGTTGGACTAGGTCTCTGTTTTTTTGCACTTGATACTCTGTGATGAGGTGTATTCACTATATCATCATCAAAAAATAGTTTGTTCTTTTTTCTTATCCTTGCAGGCATCCCTCTAGCATTCAACACTTGAGCTGGTTGACTTGGAGTTGGTTTGGGAGGAGGTTGTGTTCCAACTCTTTGAAGTCCCAAAGCTGCAGGCCCAAGGGTAGGCAAATCTTCATCAATTTCCATGTCATCATCTTGGACTTCTTGTTTAATTGCTACACTTTCGTTCGTCATTTCAGAGAATTTATTTCAATTCAGTTACTGACTTCATCTGAAAATAATGATGAAATTTATCAATAAACTGACCCCACAACTTATATCATATTTTTGAAAATCAAAAAATCTCTATTCATTATTTTTCAATATCATAATAATATATTATGTGAATATAGAAACATTTGTGTTTTCGATAATTCAAAATGAAAATATTTTGAATTCAGCATAGCACTATTTTGAAATTCAAACCCAACAAACAATTATTTGAAAACAATCAGGTATTACAAAATGAGGGAAATGATTTACATACAGAAATGGAAGCTAGGCCAAAATATTCTTATTACAGAAGTCACATCTGACCAGTTCATTGTTAATTCATATACAATTGAATTAAAATAATTTATTTAGATTGTGTTATAAGTTTTATTCAAGTAGCTCCGCCATATTGACGGGAATTCAAAGCGCGATGCGCATACCCAAATGGGAACTTGTTTTATTTAAAATTGATAAGACTTGGTGGTGTGATTTGCATTATAAATAATTGGAAATATATCTCTGAACGAATCGCAAGAATTTTGTTCCACTTACCAGATTCCATTTAATAAAAACAAATGACCACAATTCAAATTTAAAGAATGTCATGTATTTTTACGCAACGAAGGGCTACCAACATAATATGACTGATGACGTTACTTGTCGTTGACATTCTGACAAAATTTTAACGATTATCCTTTATACCAACCTAAATGTCCCAGTCTGTGTCGTCAGTCGTCGTCACACTCGTGTAGTGGCGAGTTCACATGGCAGCTTATGCCTACAGCAGAAAGCTTGAATAAAACGGGCGCACTGTTCACATGAAAAAGTTGGAAAAGTGACAGTGACTACCACATATTTGGTTAAATTTCAGATGTACGTCCTCCAGAAACTACATTTATCACATTTTTAAGAGTGTTTTTCGAGTACTGTTTCCCACACTGCATAATATGATGATATAGCACCAAACTGTATTCATTTTGTCAATATTTGTGTGGTTCTGTCAAACGATCTAAGCTTTTTTCCACAAAAGTCGGTCTGAAACTTGGTCTGAAACCGACTTTCTAGCTTATGACCTCGATAAGCGCTTTCTGACGAATCGGCCAATGAGATGAGGATACGCTGTAAGTCAAAAGGCGAAAAGCCAGCATGTGAACGCGCCATAGGGCGTGTATTTGTAGGGTGCGTTTTTCATTCCAACATTTTGTCATGCGCATAAATCGAAGAAACCATCAAACTGTTGCAAAATTCCGCTGGGATGTTGATGAAAATCCATCGAACTGTTGTAATGAACTGCGCACTTTCTCATAAGTCATATCGCTTTGCGAGAATTCAGTGGTTTGGAGTGGACTGACATGACAATTGACACATTCAAAGTATTTCTCTTCGTGTATCCCTTTGATAGTAAACAAAAAATATTGAGGATTTTTCATATTCTCGAGAGATTCCAGAAGATGGAGTTCTAATTGCTAATCATTCAAATCCTTCCAAAATCGTATCAGCCTTTTCTGGTCCTGTAGATACAGACTGACAATACGGCACACAATGAAATCAATTTTTCCATAATTGTATTGGATATTCCATTGTTTCATCGTTCCAGCATAAATTCCATCAGAATGATAATTGGTGACGTCACGATATAAAAGCGCACTTTCTTCAGATGAAAACTTCGGAATGAAAACCACGCCCGTAACTACATTATTGTCAAATATGAATAATATGATACAAAAATCTAAAGAAATAGCTGTCACTGTTGCTACTCCAACGTAAGGATTTCGATTGGATCACAAAAGTAGCAGAATTCGACTGCCACCAGAGTCGGTATTCCAATTTGAAATCACTTGTTCTGAAATTCGAATGAAATTCTTCATCAGTAGAATGCCACTTGTAAGCTACATTCCCAATTTTATTTGATTCTTATTTGAATAAACTCAAAAATAGACACTCCATACTGCGTGCAAATTCATCAAACTTTTTTTGTAAATCTGAGTGTGAGACGAGTGGATCTCGGCAGGAGATGCTGCTGTTTGTTTACTTGAACTGCCGCTTCCGCTGGTCCGCTGCCGCAAATGGCTCTGGTTTGGTGCCGGTGCTGACAAGCATTAACACTTTACAGTCAGATGCAATGAAAATGTCGCACATGATGGGCAGTGATAACAGTTCTAGTCACTACTGTGCTTCTGTATCAGTAGGAGCGCTAAAACTTGCTAAGACCATGCAACTGCGACATGTTCTTTGCATCCGACTGTACATGAGAGTCAAAATCATCTTCAAGTAAGCGGTTGGCACGGCGAGAGAGCGAGCTGAAGGAATAACTCATTCACTTTCCCCGTTAAACCCGGTTAGAGTATCAAGGTGATGGTGTTGGTATGCAACTACGTCACAATGACGTCAACATTAACTCTTTTTGAATTCCTTTTCCTCCCACTTTATCCACATCCACAGTTTACCCGTGTATCTTACTTTGACATCCACTCCATTTATTTTCAATTCGAATGTTCCCATCATATCCTCCATTTTTCACATTCATCATTTGTAAACAAATAATCAAGTTTACCTTCATCCACCTTTACCAACTATGGGGTTGGTAAACCCAAGGGCAGGTGGGGGATGTGTTCCCAAACGGAAACTGAATGCCACCTTCGGGTCCAGGTTCAATCCATATTAAGTCATGTTTTTTGTTTTTGATTTTAGATTCACTGACCTATAATATGTGTCTGTCGTTGAATCAGTGACTGGTCAGTGGATTTTTTTTTCTTGGTTTCGTAAATAAGAAAACAATGAGAAAAAAATCAAGTTTTTATTCATTTCTCACAGCGGAAAGGGCAGCGCTTCCTGTCGGGATCCTCTTGGACATCATATGACATCATGAAATCAGATAGACAAAAGGTGATAGACATTTAACAACTGACGTTTCAAACTTCAACTCAAGACAAGTTTGACATTTCCATTTCGGCATTTTTGCATGTTGAAGTTGAACGTTGAGCTAGAAACTGGATTTGGCGGATTTTTATTATTTTTAGCGTTAATTATTCGGATAAATCGGGATAAATCGTAGCTTTTTACCTGTTTTTTAAAATTCTTCCAGCAAAAGAAGCTGGGGCGTAATTTGCCAATAAGTTCAGTTTCAGAAACAGTTCTATATGGCTGGCAAACGAAGAGCAACCACTGAGCTTCAGCAGGGTCAAGATGATGAACAGGAGGAACGGGAAGATCCTGGAATTTTTCAGCGAGCTTCTGAAGATTCACTTAAGAAGAGAGTGATTAAAACTGCTAGGAGGAGGAATCCTATTTCCTCAGTGAATGTATGACTGTTGCATTTGGTAGTAGGCTTATGAATGTCTCATTTTTTTAGGATAGTGAAGATTCTACTAATAAAAGTGCCTTCACTGGTTTGAATATGTTTGGCAAGGCGCCACCAACATCTAATGCCTTTTCATTCCTGTCAAATTTGAACACATCAAATTCACAACCAAAAACAAATGGAATATACAAACTGGACAACATAAAAGGCACTGACAATGTTTCATTTGGAAATAACTCAATGGTCAATAGTTCGAAATCCATTGAAAAGAAGTTGCCTAATGATTATTATTCTAAGTTGAAGGGGCTCAATGAGAGTGTAGCAAAATGGATTAAAGAGCATGTAGATGACAATCCTCTCATTAACCTCAAGCCTATATTCACCGATTATGAACAATATTTCAATGAATTAGAATCTGAAAAACATGATGTATCAGGTAATAAAGTTGAAGAAGGTAGAGCACCTTCCTCAATGGTTGGATTCAAGTTCAAGTCATCAGAAAATATTCCTGACAGCACCACTGAAAAGGCCAATGCATCCAAAGTGATCCCAAAATTCAGTTTTAACTCTGTGACAGTATCTAAAGCAGTGGAACCTCCTACTACTACTAGTACTATATCAAGCATCCCACAGAACACTCCACTTTTTCCTTTTGGTGAGTACACAAAGAAAATGCAATTTTTTAATTTGATTCATGATCATATCTACAAAATCAAACATATTTTAATCACCACATTCTCAACCTAATCCATTTGGTAACTGATACAAATAAAGAATCAAATGTTTATGACATTTTTTTAAAATTTAAAATAGAATATTTGAATATGAAAAACTCCATAAGTTCAGCTGTTTGTGGTTATTTTAATACAGGTTGTTATTAAAAAAGTGTCTCAGGCTGTAGATCTGCCATGTTAAATACTCTTTTATTAGCAAAGTTCAACTATAGTTGAAAAATATTTCTAAAATGATGAAGATTGTGGTCATGACATCTAGAAGAAATAGAGTAAAATACCATTTTAACTTTCATGTATTTAGGAGGTTAAAATTATCTATATTTCTTCTAATTTTCATGAAATTACAACAAAGGACATATACCTACATTTCTAATTATGTTTTGAATACAATAGATTTCTTTGTTTTTCACACTGCCTACTTAACAATTTTGACACCAAAGTGTTTGGATTTATGGTGAATGAGTACCTACTACCCATTCACACATTTTATCCACAAAACATTCCTAACTCAAATATAAATTTTCAATATACATTGTAGAATTGGGAAAAAAAATTCAATGCAATGTTTCTATGTAGCACTTTGTAGTGTGTTTCAGTTTATCAGTTTGTTTATTATTTTTCATAGTGGAGGATCTCATGGAGGACTTGATTTTGCAGGTTTTTTTTTTCATAAGACTGCCTCGATTACAACACTGATAGATGTCAGAAGAATAATCCTGAGTTCCTCTTATATTAGTATTTATTTCTCAAGTACAGACATGATTCTTCATTAGTATTTGAAATTATCAAATTTATTCCAAGAAACATGCATGTTTGTGATATACAAAAATGAAAACATTGAAAAATTTATAATTCCATTGCACAAAAAGTAATTGAAAAATTCTTCACAATTTCACAAGAATAATGATGATCATGACTGAATCATGATTATGCTACCAGAAATGATTAATAGTTTCAAAAGTAACAAACTGTACTTTATTATGGAAAGGCATCATACATAATTATGTAGATGGCATTTTTCCAACCATAATCACTAGCTCTACTATTGATCTACATTACTGCATGGATTGAAGTTCTTCACAATTTCACAAAAATAATGATAATGACTGAATCATGGTTATGCTACCAGAAGTGGGTAATGATTTAAAAATGAACACCCTGTATTTTGTTATATATGTTATTTTGAAAAGAATCTATAATATGTCCCTATAGTACCTATGATTTTTGTGAAGAATTTTGAGTGTGCACTAGTACCTATATTTAGAAATGCTAATCTTGAAAATTAAGAAATTGAATCTTTTAATTGTCCACTGGAGTTAGTATACATGATGATTTTTGAACTTATACAGCCTAGTCAAAAATATCCGGTCATTTGGAGGTTTTTGGAGTCCTGAAAATGTTTTTTTTCAAATGGAACGCCCTGTATATTATCAAATAAATATTCATGTAAATACTGTTTTAACTGATATTATAGATGCTGAATTTGAAAATGAAATTGGCACTTGCTATTTCCAATTTCCAGGAACAAATGAGAACAAGGTATGTAACTATCATGCAGGCTCGCAAATGTACCAGAATAATATTCTTATGGAATCAAAATTTTCAATCACAGTGGTACCTGTTTAATATTGTCTATCATAGGTGACAATAATTATCCTATTTGTTTACTCAATTACCCAGTGAATTCTAATTATTGTCACAGTGAACTTCTTGACAATGATCCAAAGCAGTTGAAAGAAACCAGAAAAACGTTGAGAAATGGATGTTTTGTATTTATTTGGATTCATTACTTTTCACAGTATCACTTCATCCTATATTCAGTGTATTTTGTGGTATCAAAAAGTGTTGAATGTATGAGTGGTTGAATTAGATTTAGATTACCTACATAAAAGATTTCTTGAAAAATCTTTTCAAGAAAATTTGAGGGTGGATTTCATGCAAAAATATAATGAATACATTCTCATAAACTTTTTCCAAAGACTCGTAGTTTTCGGGATACAATTTATGATAGCATTAAAAAACGGTTTTTTTTGTTTTTTTTTATCAATTCCTGAGAAATCCTATTTTTTTGATTTCATGGAAATTTGGAATGTGGTTAGCAAATACTACTGTGCTAAAAAAGTTAAAATAAAAAATAAAACATATGAGTCTGAAAAATGTTTATAGGTACCCGACTAGAGGTGGGCGATAGTGATTTTGGATTATCGATTATCGATAATTTCAACATATCCATATTATCGGTTTATCGATATTATCAAAATTCTCGATATCACCGATGTTATCGATATCATAGATAATTTTTTAATAATTATCCATATTATCAATATCATTGATATTTTTTTTATTCATTACCTCACATACTTACTTATAATTGGAACGTACGAAAGGGAAAATTGGACGTGCTACGGGTAGAATGCCAACTATCCTACACTCCAAATAAGAAGATATTAGATGGCCCTACTTCTGAAAGAATATTTACACTGGCGAAATGAATATATGACGCCTAATACAAAATCATGGTAAAATTCTAATGTCTGAATTAACTATCAATTCGAGTTTACTCACCGTATTCCATTGGAACATAAAGAAAAACGAAAAATTATCAGATTATTATGATTTGACCATCTTTCCATGAAGAAAACTTCAACATTTACGCAATGATGTAAGTTATAATATTGTAATATTATCTTTGATATTAACCAATAAAAGCGAAGGTCAAAGCTTCCCTATGATTTCCAATACTGTCTTCTTAGTTGGAATGGACTATAGGAGTGGGCGATAACAATTATCAGTCAACGGGAATTTCGAAAATGATCGAAAAAAATTGAATTATCGAAAATTATCGATATTATCGATAGTATTGATATTATCGATAAATCTATATTATCGATAACTCGATAATTTTTTTTCTGAATTATCGCTATCGATAATTATTGATATATCGATAAATTTGCCCACCCCTGTACTCAACTGCTGATCAGAGTACATTTTTGACCCAAATTCATATGGAATATTTTCGTGATCATGCATATAATACAGGTGAACAAACCTAGACATTTTTCAATGCTGATTATTATCAATATCAATTTATCATACATCCAAAAACTGATTATTATTATTATTCAAACTCAAAATATGTTGTTTTTTCTGTGACAGGAAAAAAGTTTGAAATATCATCTCTGTCATAAAATGTCACTTTTCATAAATTACTTTTTTCTCACGAAAAAAAAGTGAGTACCTTTTTCCCGGATCACATATAAATATATATATATAAATAAATGAAAATATATAAATTCGCAATTTTTTAAAATCAAATAACATAATTAGACTGACAGATATATGATTACTTCAAAAGAATGATAATGATGCCTGAACGCAGGTGTCCTTTATGTCAAAAACTTCGAATTTCATGTCGATAATTTTATGATTTTAATATCATCTATAGTCTTCTCAATAATGATTTGTCCTCGGATTCGAAAATATTGAATTTTAGCTCACTGCTTTTCGTCTCCCTACGCTACGCATCGGGAGACAACACAACTCGAATTAAAAATGTACTACTTTTTTACCTTGTATAATAAATAACTATTCATTCATTTTGGCGGGAATAAATATCAATCTTAGCTTTCAACTTGACGAAGTCAATGATTTATTGCAAATTCATTCAAGTCGAACATTGGCAAACAATCTGTGTTTCACAATGGAATAATTTTATACATTTCATTGGTCATGTTCCGATATTGCTGACATGACTGGTCACAGTAAGCAATTTAGGAACACTAAACAGTAGCAGTAGCTTTGAATTTTCATTTCATTTCGGAACGATTAGTACTGGTACACTGGCAGCAAATCATAATTATAACCTATGATCTTCCGATTTTCAATATTTTGTTTTGTTGGTTTTCATTTTAGTATCTCCTTTACACACGTTAAAATTATGGATGAAGTGATTAATCATATTATCTTAGAAGACATATCCCATAGTGATTCTGAATCAGAACTACCAAGCTCTAGTACCTCTACCAGTGATGAAGAAATGAAGCAAAGCTGTGAAATATTTTAAAATATCAAAAGTGGGAATAACAAACCACCTTGTAGATTAGTGGCAGTTTAAGCGTCTTCTGCCTCTGGGAGATCATCCAGTTCGAATTCATACATTTTCCCAAAGCATTTGGAAATAAAAATAATATAATTTTTATCGACTCAAACCTAACCAATCAAATACCCAACCTAACATTTCATGAATACTGGCACTACATCACCATTTCTGCACCAGTGGTAATGACACGCGAAAACGTTGCCAGTAAATTTCAGTAAAATCGGAACGATAAAATATACTGGGCAGTACTGTACTGCAATACCGAATGCATTGAAAAATTAACACGATGTAAGTTTTAGAGTAAATCTTAAACAATACGTGGTCAGGACAATTTGATTGACAAATATTCGGCATGATTTGATTACTCAGAATTGAAATTACTATCATCTTAAGGTACCTATGAATTTGTTTCCTCTGAGTGGAATTCATTAGTTAACCTTTTATCATTATTATTATTTTGATATGTGTTCATTTATTTATAAACAGATATGTTTCTTGGAGTAATACAGATAATCAATCAATCAATATTCTACAAAAGAAATATGATATTTTTTCTTCAGTTCGAGTTTGATTTTGAAATAACTTCAATTTATTATCGAGCATACAAAAAGGTGTTTATCCAATCAGCGGTCAACGTTCCCATTTTTTTGCAAGGAATGTATCCTCGAATTTCTTCACAATATTAATGATACACCCTATATTTATTTTTAGGAAGTTCAACTACAACAACCTCAACAACATCTAGATCATTTTCTTTCGGTGCAAAGAACACAATCAGTACAGTAAACGCCTCGTCAGGTCCTGCAATTAGTTCAATGACATTCGGCTCCACGAACCCTGTAACTACATCTGCGGACGCTAAAAGTACATTTTCGATCGGCTCAACAACCACCTCCGATTCTGTTCCGAAGACAACGTCCACGTTTTCCTTTGGTGCCAGCAACGTTCCTAGTTTCTCAAGTTCCTCGCCATTTACCTTTGCGAATGTGTCAAAACCAGCCAGCGAAGCACCCAAAAATGACGCGGAGGATGATTACGAACCTCCGAAAAACGAGTTTACTCCCGTCACGGAGGCTGATCATATCTACACCGTGCGGTGCAAAGTTTTCGTGAAAAAAGACGAGAAATTCGGGGACAGAGGGGTGGGGAATTTGTATTTGAAACCAATCGAGGACAGAGAACAGGTTCAGCTCATAGTGAGGGCTGACACCAGTATAGGGAATTTGTTGTGTAATTTTATTTTGTCGAAAAGTATTCCTACCAAGCGGATAGGTAATAAGGATGTTATGCTCGTTTGTTTGCCGACGCCGGATTTTAATCCGCCTCCGGTTCCTGTGTTGTTGAGGGTGAAGTCCGGAGAAGAAGCTGATCAGTTGTTGGAAGTGCTAGACAAGCATAAGAAATAATAATTGTAACTTTTATGTTGTGTTTATTATGGTCAATATACAATATTGTTTTTTATAATCCGAGTTTTATTTATGTTCATAACGGCGTAGAGATAGGAGGAGAAAGTATCATAGTATAGTGTATTGAGAAAAATTCATAAGTTGTAGAGAAATATGAACATCAGGCGCCTCGCGACGAATTTCGGAAATTTCATTGAGAGGTGTATTAAACAGGTTCAATAATTTCTATTCCTCTCTTTTTGATATAAATTATTGCAATGTCACCACAAATCTTTAAAATTTGAAGTCATCAACATAAAAGAGATGATAGGTAGGTGAGTACTTCTGTTTGACGATGATAAATTGACCATATTTCATTTGGAAAAAGCAATATTTTTTGCTATTTGTTGGCAGCAGTTACTGAATCTACCATTTTCATGTTCAAGATCAATTAATGTATGTAATGTAATTCATTTGTAGACTAAAATCACTCATTCATATGCCAACATCAGTATGACACTGAAAAGTGTCAAACTATAAGCAGCAACTTCCAAAGAGAAATATTTTCCATTTTTATGTTGAGAACGGGGCAGATTCGGTCCCGAAACTTCAATAGATAAGTAAAAATTCGATATTTTTTCCATATATATTTCTTTCCTTCAAACATTTTTCGAACAAATTGTCACTGACAAGCTTCTTATTTTAGGCTCCCTGATAGAAACATTTGTTAAGCAGTGACATTTTGGGGCAAATCATCTGATTTGTCCCACTACAAATATATTGAAATAATACGCATATTTTTATTTTATATAAACGAGGAGAGAAAATCCCAAAAAATCAAGTAAAATGAATGTACCACCTCCTCGCGATTAACCTACAGACAGTATTTAACGATTCAATTAGTTGTTATGATACGATTGTAAATAATGAAATATTTTTTCTGCAAACTCTATGATTGATAATAGTTTTCTAATGTAGATAGTAGGTGAATTAAGTATACCTAATTGTTGAATGTTGACAAATGAAGTCTCCCCACTTTCAACACTAGCTTTTATCTATAATAAAATAGGTAATAATATATTTTCATTATCTTCTAGTGCAACCTATATATAAAGTGATCCTTTCGACAGTGATGGAGGAATAGTAAACGTCTATTCACCTATTATATCATTTTTCATTCTTTAACATTCCGTTGTATACAAATATAGGTATCCGATATTTGCTCGCTGATTGGTAAATGAACCTACCTTCATTCATTCAAAACATTCTCAGGTGAGTCACAGAAACTCGTCTGCTTTATCGGAGAATTAGACATTTTTATCCTATGATTATTATGAAAGTATTCATTAATAGTACTCATAAGTCATCCATAGCAAAGTCCGTTGTCATTATTTAACAAGAAGCAAAAATGGCTCAGTTGGTATGATTCCGGCTTCGTAATCGGACCTCTGCACTCTCGCAGGAGAACAAGGTCCTGGTGTACAAGCAGGTCATCAGGCCTGTGATGACGTACGCGTGTCCTGTGTTCTGCAGCATCTCACCTACCCACTCTTCTGAATAGGCTAGGCTACAGGTGCTCAAGGTGCTGCAGAACAAGGTACCTAGGTACTTCGTATTATCACCAATGGTGAAGATACTCTCACCGAGTGGCAGATCTCCACGAAAGATGTGGTAATTTGCCTAGAATCAACGAATTCATTCTTAAAATATCAAATAAATTCTACAAATACCACATCGCTGGAAGTGACCTTACCCGGAACATCAACACACTACGCCAACATCATAACATACGCAAGAAACACGGGCTGATATATATGCATCAAATGATGTGTTTAGGGAACCTGGTGATCTATAGTTGGGAACCCCCCAGATTCTAGGGAATACCCGAGCCACCGGGGGGAGTCTATAGACAGGACTATCTCTCAAGCAGGAAAATAAAAAAGTGACATGGACGTGAGAAATCACTACCAGTCACTGATCTCGGGCAGATGTGCTGCACAAGAAAGTGCAGTACAACTGCCCGAGCAGAACAAGATGGAGGTTTTTATGGTTTTGCCAATTTTTTCACTTTTCCTCCATAAGCAAGAAAACCCACCCACATTGATCGCGACTGAACAGCCCCCCCACCCTCTTGGGTACCCTCAGCGAGATTACCTATATGAAGCGCCTAGCCCTAGGAGATAGGTACCTGTGACGAACACCAACATTAATAGAAATGTTATTGATATTATGTGTTGTGACAAAAAACGAAGAAACAATAAATGGCTTCAATACGGTTTCGTAATCCGAAGGTCGCAGATTTGAACGCAGCGACGGTATACAGACATCGGTCAGCTGGCCGTCGGCCAGAGTGACCTATTGACGTCTGGCAGACGTCGTTTGTCTATTTTGCCGCGTCGGCAACTTCTGGCAAGCAGGTTTTGGGCCGACGTAATATCGACCAAAATTGTTTGCTGGGAGGATATTACAAATTTTATGAAATAAACACGCTATAATAGCTACACCAAGTTGTGACATACCTTTATCTCAGCGCGCAGTTTGGGGTTCTGGCTGTCTCGGATTCAGTGCCCATGATTTGAATACCCATCAGAGATTTGAAGTGATGCGCTGACTAGACTCTTTTTTTTCACAATAAATATGGAATTTGACCTGTATCAGTATCTTGGTATATGTTTCACACTAATATATGATTCTGGGCTGGAACGACAATTCAAGAAGGGTTTATCCCAATTAAATTGGAATGTATTCAAATACGATTCAGATGTTGACTTCTTAGCTTATTCTTCTCTGATCTCTTCATTTCTTGATCTAGTAGAAGAAATATTTCCTTTGATTAAGTCCAAAGTAGGAAAGAGTAGTCGACCGATTGAATGGTTCAACAATTGAACACAGAATACAAAGAAATACTTTAATGGCCATAAAAACTATTAGCCATTCAAGCAATCACCCACTTGATTCAAAGATTTATAAGTCATTCAAAATAAGTATTATCTGCTTGAGGAAGCTGAAAATAAATCAAAAGCTAGCTGGCGCTTGATAAACTTCCAGAGGAATCATGCCGATGGAAGACATGAAAATATGGCAGATAATCTGTCCTGTTCTGATTTCATCGAATTTTTCACCAATGTAGCAGAAGACATCATTAAATCTCTTCCTGATATGACTGAATTGAAACTGACGACTTACAAAAACGTTCCTTCTCCCTGCTCTTCTTCTTTTTTCATGCAACCTGTCACTTGATATGTTCATAATAGCAGAATCATAAAATCAGTTAGTGATATTATTGTAGAGCCTATAAACTGACCTTATTAATACAATATTCGTAACAGGTGTATTCCCGTACATATTTAAATTCTCCAAGATTATTCCGATTTTCAAAAAGGGTGTCAAAACCGAAGCTGGTAATTATCGCCCCATTTTCATCATTTGTATCAAACATCAACTCACAGAGTATTTTGAAAACAACAACTTCTTGAACATCTCACAATTTGGCTTTCGGAAAAATCGTTGTACTGCCAAGGCAGCTATGAGTGTTCTCGAGAGAATAGTAGAAGCAGGTCTAGAACAAAGCCATCATATGGGAATCACTCTCTGCGATTTATCCAAGGCCTTCGTCTGTGTCTCTCATGACATCCTCATTGACAAACTCAGCTACTATGGAATTAGAGATGTGAGATTTGGTGTTCCACAAGGTTCTGTTTTGGGCCCTTCACTGTTCATAATCTAAATCAATGACCTATGTCCATATATGACTCCATACAATATATAGTATCCTATTCGCAGATGACAGAACATTGATTTATTCTCATGAAGAATAATATGACTACCTATGATATGCAAATTATAGAGAATCTTGCAGACCTCTTTTCAAGAAATTAAAAATCTTCACTCTCCCGTCACTTTTCATCTGGATTCTGGAACACGGTGAATAAATGGTATTCACAAAAAATCTCCAATATTAACAACGCATTCAGACGTTCATCACCATGATACCAGAGGAGCAAACATGATTAGATTGCCTAGATATCGGCTCACTAAATCGAAAAAGAATTCTATAAACTATAGCCTATATAATATTCTTCCTACTGAAGTCGAAAATATGAATATATTCAACTTCAAAAACACTATCGAATCATGTCTTCTACTCCCTTGAGGAATATACTAACTTCATGAAACAGAGTTTACATTTGGGTGTATGATAAATTGACATTCATCATACAGGGCGTGGAAAGAAATTCTGAATTGAGACTCTATCACGAATCTGCGATTAGAGGTCTATAAAAAATCACAAGCTTCCATCGTTCAAGTTTGAACCCCCTGATTGGGTATGAAATTGTTGAAATGGAATATTCTCAGATAAATTATGAACATACAAAAATGGATATATATTTATATAAAGTAATACATTGAGAATTCATATTCTCTATGTGTTGAGAATATTTACTCTTTTTCAGTTGATTCAATAGAAAACAACTACTTTCCTGGCTATATGCCACGACGAACATTGAATTATATCTATTATGAACACACACGATAAGAGTTTGAAAATAAAATATGAAAAAAAACTTCTGAAATTGAGAATTTGCATTCTCCTTCAGACAAAATATGTACATGCACACATCATTCTCAATTTCGGAGGATTTCATTCTTATTTAGTTTTCATGTTCTCCTTTTAAATGTTCATCAGATATAATTCAATGTTCGACACGTGGCAAATAGCCAGGAAAGTAGTTGTTTTCTGTTGAATATTCAGAATGATGTGTGCATGTACAGTCGTCTTCAGCGAACATGTCGCGGTTGGACGGTATGAGCCTTCTTTTTGCAGCAGTGATCAAGGGAGCTGACACCGTCCATGTGCGACATGATCTCTGAAGACGACTGTACCTACATATTTTGTCTGAAGGAGAATGCAAATTCTCAATTTCAGAAGTTTTTTTCATATTTTATTTTCAAACTCTTATCGTATGTGTTCAATAGATATAATTCAATGTTCGTCGTGGCATATAGCCAGGAAAATAGTTGTTTTCTATTGAATCAACTGAAAAAGAGTAAATATTCTCATTACATAGAGAATGTGAATTCTCAATGTATTACTTTATATATATATATATCCATTTTTGTATGTTCATAATTTATCTGAGAATATTCCATTTCAACAGGGTGTACATAATATATACTCACTCTGAATAGTGAATCAAATAAAATAATACATATCCAGCCGTTCTCTTTCGCTTTTCGCTAGTATATGCTCTTATCATCTGACTGTGTGTACTGATTTTTTTTCAATATGTTGTTTTGAAATAATTAGTATATGAATTATTGTCTATACCATATTTTATCTATATAATATGTTATTTTTTTTATTGTAGTTAGGTATTTGTATATCTATTTTACTAAAAAAATTTATACTATCATGTGACCTGTCATAAATGTATTTGTATATACATAACATGATCAAATAAATAAATGAAATGCATTTAATAAAATTTGAAACACATTTATACTTGCAATTCTTCCATACATGACGAACAAATATTCCTTTTTTGTAATATAACCAACATATGCAATATTAATTTCACCTACTTATACCTGAAATTTTGGTGTTGCACATACCCATCAAAAGGTTCAAAAACTATCAATTATTGCAAAAAGGTTACTTTGCGGTGCTGGACTCAGAAAGCAAATGGTCGCACACTTTATCTGAAATCTCGAAAGAGTTTCCTAAAATCTAGCAAAGACTAGTTTTAATACCCGTCGGATTGATATATAAGATTCAAATCATGCCGCAAAAAAAACCTGGGACCAAGGAATTATGGGCCTGATGCATATGCAACTATAGCCATGTTTAATGCTGTAGTAATGGTTTCCTCGACGGAGTTTCATCTGACTCTCTTATCATAAATAATGGTGTTCCGCAAGGATCAATTCTATTCACTATTTCTACTCTATATCAACGATTTGTTGGAAGCAACTTCATGTCCAGTACACAGATTTGTGGATGTGGTAGTACCCTCCATACCGCCTCTTCTCTTCCAGGGCTCCAATACCAGCCAGGCAAATCAGAAACGAACGAGGGAAAAATGTTGACAACATAAAATATGGACTTTTGGCAACAATTCTCGAATGGGGATCCAATAACTTGGTAGATTTCAATGCAAACAAAACACAAGCATGCCTTTTCTCTAGAAAAGCCGATCTCAGTGTGCCCAATATAAGCTTGTCAGGAGTAACCATACCTTTGAAAACATCCATTTCGATGCTTGCTTTTACTATCGTCAATAACCTTTCTTGAGAAAATCACGTGAGATCAATTGCTGAAAGTGCATCCCAAAAACTTGGGTTTTCTGTTTCGGGCCAGGAGCTATTTCTCTTTCCCTTTCTTGAGAAAATCACGTGAGATCAATTGCTGAAAGTGCATCCCAAAAACTTGGCTTTTCTGTCTCGGGCCAGGAGCTATTTCTCTTTCAGTCAGCTGCTTATGATGTATAAGGCACAGATCCGACCTGTTCTGGAATACTACTGTCCCCATATTTGGAGTGCAGCATCCAAACATACCCTGAAACTGTTGGATTCTGTCCAAAAAAAGGGAAATTTGTCTCGTGGGTGATGCCTCGCTCACAAACTCACTCACTTCTCTGGAACACCGTGAAAAAGTTGGCGATCTGCCCCTATTTTATAGATATTTTCATGGACGATGCTCTTCTGAAATACCAATAATTGATTAACCCGTCGAGTTGAGGCTTCGCACCCCTTCGTGGTCACTTTGGAGACCTCTTTCCAAAGACTCGTTCATCCAACGAACAGCGAGGCTCTGGAACACATTGCCAAGGGAGGTGTTTCCCGAGGCATATAACCTCCAGAAATTGAAGAAAAACACCAATTCCTACCTTATTTCCCTTGGTTCTCACGATGTTCTCTGATCATTACAGGATATCCCTTTTAGTGGGAACCAGAACATTGAAAAAACAGAAGGAGGAAACATTATTTTATTTTATTATTATTTATTTTAAATTAAATATTTTGAAATTCGAATACCGATTCAGTCACATGCATAGCAGACTATTAATTTTGGCATCAAGAAAAGCTATACATCAGGGTGGACAAAAAGATAATCTATGCATATAAGTTTTATTCTTGAAATGGGTCGGAGAATCGGCCCCTTGAATATTAGCATATTCGAATCAAAAAAATATTTCAATATTCAATATCAATGTGATGATATTTTTTCTAGTATTTATCTCCTATTTTTTGAGGTTTGAGAAATGAGAAGGAATGTCATTTTGCGTTTCGCCTCTTAAAACAGTTCGTATATATAGCATCAATAAATCAGCACAAGTAACAAAGTTCACAAACTATATATTCAATATCTGCGATCCTGCCTCATCATCAACTCAGGATGATCAATTGATGATTTTTGAAAGAATTGTACGATTTTCGAGGGCGTGATATCTGAAATCTAATGACATGCATTTAAAAAAATATACTAGGTATAATCAGAATTTTTTGACGAAGTTACAAGGAATAATATCATCTAAAGATGCAAATGAATACTGATATTACTGATAATATCTGCTACTAATATAGAATGAGTTAATAACGTTTTATATCTCCTCTTTATATACTAGGTGAACATGAAATAATAATAATAATAATAAATGTTTTTATTGGAAAAACAATTTCATAATTGAAATGCGACACGTGACAATATCCTTTTTTATTGAATTATTGGATAGTATCATATTTCATCTCCCCCATAATTGATGGAACACACTGTATAGTTCTTGACCAACAGCAACAATATTGGAGAATACTTCTTGTAGTGACTTATCCTATCAAGAAATAATATACCCTAACAACACAGGAATGTCCTATAGGTACGTCCCTTTTTTGTCATGCGGAACAAGGACATGATTGGGGCATCCAGGGGATGTCCCGTAGTGGTTGTCCAGTGGACATCCCGCCCGGTACATCCCTAGGTTATCCTATTCGTGTCCCTGGAATATCTGATATCCATTCATATCAGAGTCATTGAATTTCATCAAAATATTGAGTTGATTTTTTTTGAAAATGTTTGTTTTTCTTCCGGAAAATAATTGTAATGAAAATAAAGAATATAGTCTCAGAACTTCATAAGAAATTACCATTTTTCGCTAACAGAAATCGTAAATGCATATAATGCTCCTCATTTTCAAACACCCAAGAATGATGATAATTATACATGAAATCCTAACAAAGTTGTATTTATTCAGGTTTCAGTTTTGTACTGTTTATAAATGTGTTTAGTACATAAAACTTCAGAAGGCATATTAGCCAATAGAGTAAGGTGCGTGCCTGATAAGCTGAAGGTCCCGGGTTCAATCCTACGCGACTTTTTTCTTTTGTCGAAGGGATGTCCCTGGAATATCCTTGGGACGTCCTGGGGATATCCTTTCTTCGTACTTGGTACATATCCCAGGGACGTACCAGAAGGATATCCCTTGGATGTCTCTTTTGTCTGAAAGTGGATGTTCCTGAGACGTCCCTAGTGTGTACCTTGTCCCAAAACAGGATATCCCTGGGATGTCCTAGTATAAAATTAGGGACGTCCCTGGGAAGTCCCTAGGATTTACTTGTGTTGTTAGGGATAATAATACCTCCATTGTCGTTCTAGATGACAACCTAGTTAGGTAGTTAGTAGGCAGGAGCTATAATAATTCGACAGGAGGCCATTTTCCCTATAAAACTTGCGGTGTCCAAATTTTCTCTAATACGCCCGGCATCGCTCGCAATGTCAATGCTGACCGCAGTGGATTTGGGACCCCACGTGTGCTCCGGAGATTCCACAACATCAAATGAAGAGTAAAAGTGCGATTGCCATATATCCACCTCGCTTGCATGTGGGACAAGTTGAAAAAGTGAACGCACAGTAGTTTCCATCAGAGGATAACAGTCGCGCTCGAATATTCCGTGGTGCATATACTTACATGCAACTTTCACTGAATCAATTTCGATGATCAGAAGAACGCTGATCGACAGACCGAACAACGAGAAGAAATAAAATCGAAACATGTGTATCGACCGGTACGGTATTTTCAATATCGTTCGACGAGAAAGTGCAGTGTTTATTTGTTGTTATTTATTACTCATTACTTTTACCGGTAAGTACCTACATACATACACAGGGTGTTCCAAAATTGCTGGGACACAGAGCTACCACGTGTAGAGGAGGTCAAAATAAGTTGATTGAAATGAATGAAACGAATTTGATGAAATTTGACAATAGTGTATTTCAGAGGATTACCTTTCTTTTGGTAATCGAAGGAACCAAAAGGAAATTGTAAATAGGGTTAAAACCACCCTCACCCCCTGACATTTTCTTCAAAACTTTGTTTGCGGTCATAATACGGTTCTTAATTTTTTTGATCTTGAAGACTAATCAATTGCCTTCATTTTATTACTCTTGTAAAAATATCGTATACCGCATCGTTTAGAAGAAAAAAAAAGTTCTCTCAAATAATGATACCAGATATTCCCAGAACAAGTTGAATTGAATTGTGATATAAAACAAACAAATTTATTGTCATTCAAGTTTGTTGTTGACTTCGTCTGTAAATGTTTCGATGAATTCTTCAATTTTGTTATCACCAAGAGTACTTTTACCGACCATTTATTATTATTTAATTGTTGTTGTTATTTTAACTGCTACCAAATATGGATTTTTCTTATAATGAGCAGAGTGATATGATCTTAGTTCTTGGATTCTGTCAAGGTAACTGTCACAGAAGTGACCGCGTATACCAATAAGAGAGGTATGTCCAAACCGGAGAATTCCGAATCATAACACTTTTGCCTGAAGTGAGAGACGTCTTCGAGAAACAGGGATGTTAAAACCACTCAGAATTAATGCTGGAAGACCCTGTGTCCAAAGACCTAATACCTCGCCTAATACGGAAGAGGCTGTTCTTGAAATAATCAAAGACAATCCCGAGATAAGTATACCAGATTTGTGCAGCGACAAACAGGAATTCCAAAAAACACTGTGAATCGGATCTGCAGAGAACAATTAATTCATCCATCTCATATACAGTTTGTGCAAGAGTTATTACCACTTGACCACGGATCATGTTTGAAATTTTCACGGACTGTTCGGGAGCGCAGACTACTTGACAACAGATTTCACACTAATATTTTTTTTACTGATGAGTCTTGTTTCACACGTCGTGGCATGACGAACCTGAACAATGAAGATTTATATGCTGATGAAAACCCACATGCCATTAAAGCTAGACACTATATATCAACGAGATTTTGAAATTAATGTTTGGATCGGATTTATCTAAACAATTTTGGTTGGGCCGATTCGATTGCCAGATCGCCTTGATGGTGCTAGTTACCTTCACTTTCTTCAAGAAATATTGCCAGATTTATTAGAGGACTTACCCCTCAATGTTCGGCGAAACATGTTCTTCATGGACGACGGTGCACCACCTCATTTTGCACGTGCAGTAAGACAATATCTGAACGAACAATTTCCTGATAGATGGATTGGTATAGGGGACCTACGCGGTCTCCAGATTTGAATCCGTGCGACTTCTTCATCTAGGGAGCGTTGAAAACACAAGTGTATGAATTTCAAATTGTTACATCCGAACAGCTGTGGAACAGAATCCAAAATGCCGTTGACGCACTACGAGACAACGACGATGTCCTGACGAGGGTGCATTTCAATTTTTCACGTCGAATTGATATTTGTATCGATAAAGGTGGGCGTCATATTGAACATTTATTATAAAGAAACGTTCTACTTTTGTTTCCACTGTCAACTAAGTTCTATATCACAATTTAATCAAACTTGTACTATAGGAATATCTGGTAGCATTATTTGAGATAACATTTTTTTTTCTTCGAAACTCTGCGGTATGCGAAATTTTTACAAGAGTATGAAAATGAAGGTAAGTGATTAGTCTTCAAGTTCAAGAAAATTCAGAACCGTATTATGACCCCTAAAAGCGTTTTGAAAAAAATGTCAAAGGATGAGGGTGGTTTAAACCCTTCTACAATTCCTTTTAGGTTTATTTTACTTGACTTTTTCAGATTTTCTCTCCTCATCTCTAAAAAATAAAAATATGCGTATCATTTCAATATATTTGTAGTGGGACAAATCAGATGATTTGCCCCAAAATGTCACTGCGTTTAACAAATTTTTCTATCAGGGAGCCTAAAAGAAGAATCCAGTAGCTTGTCAGTGACACTTTGTTTGAAAAAATGTCCGAAGGAAAGAAATATAGATATATTGAAAAAATATCGAATTTTTACTTATCTTTGGACGTTTCGGGAACGAATCTGCTCCCGTTCTCAACATGAAAATGAATAATATTTTTCAGGTTTCTTCGATTACCAAAAGGAAAGTAATCCTCTGAAATACACTATGCCAAGTTTCATCGAATTTGTTCACTTATTTCTGAACAGCGTACAAAAATGTGTTTTTTTATGTGAACTTTGAACCCTTCTCACGGACAAACGGTACATTTTGACACAGAAATAATGGGTCCAATTTTGGGACACCCTGTATACTCACAGTGTGGCCCGCAAAAAATGTGTAGGTATACATATTTTCGAATATAATAATGAAGAATTAATAGGGAATACTTTTTTTAACAAAATGTACTACCTGCTCAAAAAGTTCTATCAAATGGTTTACCCTTAGATTTACCATAGATCAATGGATTTACCAATGAGGGCTGATGAATATACTTCTTTTCGTGTCATTTCATGTAATAATTAGTCGTAAAGTTCAACATTAAGAGTAAAAAAAGGCAAGTCTGCTCAAGTCTTTCCATAACTTGAGTCTATTATATTTGTTCCAATGAGCCACATAACATTTTCTTCATATTGGTGAGACTGAAAATGTCACCCTCATTGAATTCGATTTATCATTTCATGGCCTCCTGTGATCGAAAATAACATCACTAAAATTAGGAAACTACGGTATGTCTCATTTCTAATGGATGCATCCCTGTATACCTGTCGTAATTGTTGAGTTAGGATTTTGAAATTTGCAGGAGCGAGAGATATACGAGAGATACACTCTATGACAAAGGGGGTCGTCATCTTCAGTGATATACACTGATGGTCATCGGCCATGGAACCACTCTCATTTCCGGAAAATGATATTAGGAGGCAAGATAGGTTTAAAATCACTCCGGATTCCAAATCAGGACGTTCAATTTTGTAACTTTTTTCTGGAAAATGTCGGTATTGGAAAATCGAATTTTGTCTCACTGTTTATTTTAGCACCTCCGTATGCTACGTAGTTATCGAGGTAGGGTTCTGAAATTTGCAGGAGGAAGAAAGAGTCCAAAGATAAAGTCAATTATGTTAGAAACCCATTGAGCATATGAAAACTTCGAACGCAAATATCTTTGTAATCGTTTGAAATAACCCTATCACCTCGGTATTGTTGATTTCGTCATGATAATCCCTGACCGATTTTGGAATACAATACAGGGTGTCTCATTTAAAAATCAAATGTTGGGGTCGTTTTCGGTGAAACTAGAAGTGATAGAAGAAAAATTGTTTCATCAATTATTGAGCGATTTGGTATACTTGCTACCCACCAATTGTCAAAACCAAATCTATAGAATAATTCAGAAGTTACAATCCTGGCAGGTTTTTGTGCACTTCCCTGCATGACCCCGTACCGAGAAATCCAATTTTCAGACATTTTAACTGGAGCACATTTTCAAAAATGTCAACAAACCTATCGTAAGTTATATTGTATAGTGACCCGTTTGATTTCTGGAATGTAGATGGATAATAACCCTGAGATACCATCAATAACATAGTTTTCAGACATCAAGATTGTAGCGCGTACCCACAGGACACCAATAAAAAAAAACAGTGCACTCAAAAAAATTGATGGGTTAAATCAACCAAAAAGAGCATATGAAAATGAGCCTATCTCGTTTAATAATTAAATCAACCAGCGAACAATAGTTGAATATGTTTGGTCACCATACGAATGTAATTGTTGATGTTTTGATCAGGAAAATTGGTTATCAACCAGATTTTAATCTCACAACAAAATGAATGGTATGTTAACCATAATTTTTGTCCCTTCACTTATATTTTGTATAGATAGCCATAATATTTGGTTCACCAACAAAGTGCATAGTAGATATAGGTATATTGATTATTTTTCAGGTTCTTGTACCACTGAATTGATACAGATTTCGAATAAACATTAAGTTTATTTATTATATGGTGGTCAACTTCACAAAATATCTACAGTATAATTCTCTTCAATTGTAATTTCTCGTCTCCGTTATTTGAATGTACTCTTCCATTTATCCTTTATGACACTCAATGGACGTTATTCAATTGCTACCACAGTTTATCATCTTCTTCCTGTAAGAAATGTATAGAATCGAAATATGAATTTAATATTGAATTGATTGAATTCATGAATAATACTCACCAGCACATAATTACGATCATCTGATGAATTTTCCTCATCATGATTATTAATTGGGAAGACTACGGTTCTGGTACTTGTCATATACAACCTCCCTGGGGAAATATCCACTCCTTCTGTACCTTCTAAATGATTCGAAAATTAAAGAGAGTCCTGAGAAAAACAGACGAACTCAAGCAATAATTTCATACAGTGTGTTAAATCATTACAAAACTTAGTACTAAATTACAACTCGATTTTGAATACAGTGATTTCATAATCGACTCACCAAAATCACTTCATTGCAGAATAGATATAACGTAAAACGATAATATCAAAATAATATAAAGCCACAACACAAAGAACAAAATAAGACGCCAGCAACAAAATCTCATGTGGACGCTGTCGCCCTGCAAATACCAATGGGAATATCACAAGCTCATTGTCAACCCTTCAAAGAAGGTTGGTTGATTTTAACCTACTGTTCGTTTCTCTACCAATTATGACAGTGAACGAGCTGTAATAATATATTGGTCATACAACATAGTTTAAATACTATCTTTAGAGTGATTTGAAATAGTTGCAGGTTGATTTTACCTTCCTTTTCGTTTGATTACCAACTTTAACAGTGAGCAAGCTGTAATGATATTTTAGTTACAATATAATATAGTTGAAATACTATCTTTAGTTTGATTTGAAATACTTATATGTTGATTATAACTTCCTATTCCTTTGTCTACCAAATATAACAGTGAGCGAGCAATTATGATATTTCCGAGGATATTTCAGTTACAGTTATAATGTTGTTGAAATACTATTCCTAGTTCGATTTGACTAATTTTTAGAAATTATTGATTGTACCACAAAAATATTATCAAAATCAACTAATAATATGTTTGGTTGACGTTGAATTTGTTCATGTATACAATTTTTCCTGAATTGTTTTGACGATCACCTTATCATTGAATGTACCATCATTGTAGTTTTATTCAACAATAATTATAATTTTTTGTCAATGCAACCCATACTATTTCTTTGAGTGTGACTCAAAAATACACTTCTACTTCCCGCCCTCAACTTCCTGCCCTCAATTATGTAATATTTCAGATAATGTTCAGAACGAAACAGAGATTTATTAATTTTGATCGACACTACACTGTTTTACCACTAACCAAACCGATTTTTTAACGCCTCGACACGTGTTTCGCTAACTATGTTAGCATCTTCAGGAGAAGATTAAAACAGTTTTAATCTTCTCCTGAAGATGCTAACATAGTTAGCGAAACACGTGTCGAGGCGTTAAAAAATCGGTTTGGTTAGTGGTAAAACAGTGTAGTGTATTATCGTGCCAAAGGTTCCAGTCTTCGATATAATTTTGATCGAAATATGATGGTTGTAAATAAAATAGTTTACTAACCTTTCTAGGAAGTTTCATTTCTGTCTCGAGATAATAAGTAACTAATCTCACGCCAGGAATGAATCACTTCCCACCTCGGTGGGCTCGGTGTGTAATAAACTATTATAGGTGTCAATTGATGCGGAAATAGTTTTTTACCTAACAAATGCGCAAAGTAGTACTTTACCGCAAGAGTAAGGCACGATGTTTTTCCTACAAGTGTTTTTGTCCATATTATTTTTATGCAAAAAAAGGTTTCTGATGAGCAATATTTTATAATTATGCTACAAAATGTACAGAAAGGACATAATAGTTATATAGATCATAAGCTAGTCCTAAATATCCTAATCTTCAACAATACAATAATCGTGCAGGGAAGTAACTTTTCATTACTAGTGCGTAAAAGTAACTTCTCACAATTTCATCGACAATTAATTCCACTCAAATAGGAAACAACAGAAATGCAAGTGAATGAAAAAATCGGATTAATTTTTATCCGTCAAAATCGAGATGAACAGCAAATGATATTCCAGTAAGAATGTGGAGATTTGAAAATGTTTGCGAGGCAGATATAGTGAAGGAGATTGAAAAATCAACTCCAGATAATACAAAAAGAAGAGAGAGCTCTATGTGTCACTTATTTAGGTCCGATTTGTTGACATTTTTGCTAAAAAAAGGTGAAACGCTACGCACAAAATGCCTGAAAACACAAATTTTAGTGATGAAACAACAAAATCTATGTATATTTGCAATATCAGACGGGCTGTTATACGACAGTCGACGAAGTTTTTTTTTACACTCAGAAATACCCCCCCGCGAGAAGAGGATACGACACTTCTGAGAGTTGATATTCACCAGTCGGCTCTAGGGTCATCTAATCTACCGATTTTACACGGTTTTAGCCGGGCTGCTATGAAACATGGTTTTGGTTACCATCTCTCGTACTATTGATCAGGACCGTATTAAAAAAAAATGATGATGGTTGTACGAATGTGAAACGTCGTAAGAGAAACTATATTCACGATAAATCTGATCAGAAGTTGCTATGTAAAAGTATCTTCAGTTTTTCTGTATCTCCAATTATATTGTTTAAAGAAATGAAACAGATTTTACAAAAATATACACGAGCTGCAAAGTTATGAATAATTTTGAAGATTATTCAAGGCGTATGCGAATTCTTATCTCCTCTGCCGTTTCTAAGATACCCAATCTTATATATAGCACCTTGTATTGGTCACACTGTAGAGGCATTATTTTTTTATGGAAACTATTTGATTATTCCATCGTGAAACATTGATACTTATAATAAATCTCAATGATTTTTATAGGTTTAGGTACTGTCAATTTTAATCAATTCATATTTTCTTCTAGGGATTTATGCACAGAGATCCAAAGGAAGAAAGAAAGCTGAAACTTTTACGGATTTATTCAACACAACGTCCTGTATTCCCAAACCTTACAAATGCCCCCACAGACAGATACAATTCTTTCTGTATACCAGGTAATTTTCCTCCGTATTAAAAATATGTATACAGGGTGTTATACAAGTATGTGGCTAAACTTCAACGAGAGATTATTTGGGTGATTCTAAGACGAAACGTTCATGTGAACATATAGGTCCAGAAAAGATTCGTTTTCAAGATACAGGGCATCAAAGTATCAATAAAAAATGTTTTTTATCAATAATTCAAAATTCTGTTTTCCGATCGCAATGAAACTTGATGATTTGGTCAACAATATCAAGAAGCTTCTTTCGTTGAGATTAAATTCGGAATGATGATTCCAGTGACGTCGCAGTGATGGGTTACCTTTTCAATATTTATGGTAAATAAGGTACTTACGTTATAGTTTTTCCAAGTTCGATATTTTCATCGTATTGAACAATTAAAAATACAACTTTCTTGTCCCCTATTCAATTTTTGTATATCACTTTGTTTCTGAGTAAATTATGAAAAATTGATTTGATTCAAAATTTCAATGTATGTGCCCTCAAAACACCCATTGGAATTACCCAATAACCTCAATGAGTATTATTCTCTGAGAACGAAGCATTTCAGGACGTATGTTAATATTAATTTTTATCTTAGAAGCACTCGTTGAAGTTTGGCCACATACTTATTGAATAACACTCTGTATAGTTCGAAAATATACGCCCACCCATCCTGATAATAAACTTTGCCTTAGATTAGCAGTGATAATGAAATTTCGAAGAAGGTAGATTTAGATATTTAGGGGTGAAGTGTACTGCCAGTATTGATACTCTACTATAAAATTTCAAATAGCAACTATCTACGTTTCCAAAAATAATGATGAAAAACTTGATTGTTGAGTATGAATGAAATGAAATGAAGAAATGCCCCTAGCCTCACCTATTTCTCATGCCCCTGATCAAAATTTCAGAAAATTCTTAATATTTCCAAATCGGGCATGAAAAGTTATATACAAGTACAAAATGTTGTTATCTCAACACAGAAGGTTGCGGAACTATTTACATAAATTAATCATCTCCCATGAACCCATGTTGACATAAACTAATTTCACTATTTTTGTGCCTAGAATCTGTGGTTGAAATCTTTCTATGTAATTTCGGGATACCCTGTATATTCTACTCGCGCATCATGTCTAATATCAACTCAGATGATTACAGCACTCGCCTTGGCTCGTACTATAATTTCCACATTCATGAGTGATAAAGCCATCATTATATGCGCATGTCAGGGCGGGTTTGCACCAAAATAAGGCGATAGGATCAAATATGCCTTGATAAAATATTGCTGTGGAAAGATACAGGACGTTCCAATCGAAAAAGTATATTGACTATATTAACACACACAAAAATTTATTCACTGACAAGAAATGTCATTTAACATCCACAATTATCTGACAGTCCAAAGCACCCTCTTCAAAAATGGAATACATAATATTTTAAATCCCCTTCCGAGACTTTGAACTGTTAAATTGCGTTCTTCTCGAAAAAGGATGAGAATATCGTGTTTAAACAAGAGTAGGTACCTACCAATATAACGTAGAAATGATGTTCATGTCGTATTTTCTAATAAAAATCACTAAAAAGTTTTGGTCAAAAAAAAGTTACAAATCGATTTCATCATTTGAAATCATTCACCTGGCGCCCCCTGTATCAAATTATGCGTATGTGCCGATTTCGATAACAATCGATTGATACAGGGTCGCTGATATGTATGGAAACAGGTGAATATCTCGATAACCTGTCGTTAGATTGTTTTTTAATTCATGTGCAGTGTGATTCCTAAACGTGGCGGATTTGAAAATGTTATTGCCAATGTTGCCAATTTTCAGTTATTCCGGATTTTTTTGTAACTTCATTATTTTGGATGAAACACCCTGTACTTTATTGTATTTCCAGATTCTCCTTGAATAGCTGATTCCATCGATCTATCACAATTGGGGTCTATCGGGAATGATTACATAGGTATAGAGTGTTTAAAATTAAGATTTTTCAATTTCAGGATTTGTTTGTGTCGAAACTATCCATTGTCGATCAAAACCGCTCCAATGATATATCTCTACTTTCGATTCACTATCTACTGACATTTAATTGGAACAGATACAGAGGGTGATCAGAATACTGAATATTGAAGCACCATGTATTTGTTTCAATTAAATGTCAGTAGATAGTGAATCAAAAGTGAATATAGGAACATTGAAGCGGTTTTGATCGATAATGAATAGTTTCGACACAAAACAACCCTGAAGTTGAAGAATCTAGATTTTGAACACCTTATACCTATGTAATCATTTCCGCTAGACCCCAAGTAATATAGATCGATGGAATCAGCTCTTCAGGGAGAATCTGAAAATTCAATAAAATACAGAGTGTTTTATTCAAAATGAGAAAGTTAATGAAAAATCCGGGATAAATGAAAAAGTGGCCACATGGGCTATAACATTTTCAAATCCGCCATGTTTCTAAATCACACAATACATAAATTCAAAAAATCCAACAACAGCTTACTCAGATATTCACCTGTTTCCATACATATCAGCGACCCTGTATACAGTGAAATTATTCAAAAAAACGATAACAAAATAATTCAACGCCATATATTTCTTCTCCACAGTTGCTCATATCGCCATGATTTGGTCCAAACAATCCGGCCTTAACCTATGTCCCAATAGTTATGACTCACCCTGTATAGTATATAGTTAGATCAGTACTCATAACTGTTCATGATGAATATTGACAATGAGCTTTATCAGCTCAGATTTAGGATTATTGATTTGTTTTACTGCATCTGCACCTATTTTTCTTTAACGTATAGGTACTGAGGTATAAGTATATACCTACTTTTTTGCATTGACACACAGTGAGTAGAAGAACGAGGTCAAGGATTTCCAATTCCAAGATGTCATTAATATGTATATTCTCTTTGTAGTGAGAGGTTCCGCATATAAGAATATTATCATTGTAGACAAACATGTTTCACTATCACTTTCGACAATGCTTATCAACTAAAATCCAACAATATATTATAGTGATAACTATAGAGTGCCTCGAACGTCTCATTTTACTCTCTTTAAAGAGTGTGGACATACTTGTCATTGTGTTAAACAGCTGAACAAAAAATATGAGACATAAATAATTTTTATGCACTAGCGGGCCGTAAAGTGCACTTTACCGCCCGGTTTTGCGGGCGTTAAGTCGCACTTCAACGCCCGCTGTTCTCAGTCACCTTATATCCACATATCAATTTATGAAAAACCTATGATCATATTCTTAGATTCTGATATATCCAGCGGTATATCATAAACTTCTTCTTCATCCGACTCCATTGCCATAGTCTCGCTATTATTATTATCACTAATTTTACTTTTCAATCAAAGAATGACAATTCAGCTCGTTTATTGGATGTATTGCTATGGACAACAAACTTACAACAACCATCAGATTGATTGACAACGTCAAAATAAGTTAGGTTTATATACTGGGTATGCATATTGTAAAATTCTGAAGAATGAATCTCTTCGTTTATACGTCCATGGCTGAAAGAGTTTTACTATTACGATAATTGCAATATTCGTACGATACTTTTCATATGTGAATCATCCATGAACAATACGCTTCTCTTGATTACTGAATTTATACGTAACAAACTAAATTCTGGGGAATATTAGTTTATCGAAATCTATAGTCATTACTTATGAGTCAGAAAATAAACCACTAGTGCATAAAATTTTGTATGTATCTCGTGCATGAAATGCGTTTATGGCCTTCAGCGTTCACAGGCCATAAACGCCTACTTTACGCCCTTGATACATAAATAACTATTTCGTTGACCTCTACAAAGAATCACATTTTACGTTTTAATTTCCGAACGAAAAACCAACTATTTCCAACGGCAAATACTTTTCGTCCGCTGCAGGTTTGCCAGTTCTACTGAATTCTCAGTAGATTTTGCTGATTTGCATAATGATCTACTAATGTACTGAAACATTTCATGACCTACTGAAAAATGTTTTGACACTTATCTATTATTATAATTACCTATATTATTATTAAACTTTAGTTTATCACATAAACTTATAAATGGCATGATATTTCGGCACGATCTGTTTGAATTTACATGTAGGTATAATGATATGTATACACCCAAAGAGGACAATACTATCTGATTCAAATCAAATTCAATTTTTCATACACCTCTGATGTAATAACAGTTTGTTTTTACGTTTAATTTTTTTATTTGTTTTGTATTTTTGTTGTTCATTTTTACTATCTGTTCCTGTTTTCAATATACTCAAATTTCATAAGTAGTTACCTATGTAATTATATTTTGTGATATTTGTGAGTATTTTCAAATTGAGAATTAGGAATATGATTATTTTTTCTTGGGAATGTTTGTTTTGTTTGTTCCTATTTTGTTAGAAATAGGTCACTTTTCTGTTTAATAAAAGTACAAAACGTTTTGACATCATTTTCCTTTCATTATTTTTCCTTGGAATCCGTACCGCATAAAATAGCATAAAATAGCAAAAAATAGCATAAAATAGATTTGAATTCTTGACAAGGTATTTACTGATGAAATTAAAATCGAACTGGCAACCCTGGTCCGAGCGGAGAGTGATTTGACAACAACTGTCATATTTGCTGTTGTCAATTTGATTATTCATGAAATCCGTTAGATTTCACGTGTGAATTGATAGGACCGTGATGTGGATGTAAATGTTTGAGGTCGACGAAAAAAATGTAATTTTTATTTGCCCCTTCATTGAACGAGTGCATATTTTTTATTTGAAACCCTAACATTGGCGTAACACCAACGGCACATAATGCTCATTGTGTATATACATAGTAATATCAATATTCGGTCAATGAATGTATTTCCATGAAATGAATATTGTAATGTCAAGCTTCAACGAACATTTGAAATGTCGTCTCGTCTTTGGGCAACTCAAATAAACGTTAACCATCATTCTTGGAATTTGTGCAATACGTTACCTAACAAGATATATTAATAATAA